CTGGCATTTTATTTAGAAGGCTATGATGCTCAAATTTCTTAGGAGCTACTATTAGATTCTGTTTATGGTTTTCGTTTACATTTTCAAGGAACACAACAGGGCAGAATTCATCGAATCTGCAGTCAGCCCTGCAAAACTCAGAGATTGTTGACCGTAAGCTGGACAAGGTAATTTGTGAGGGGCGAATTCGGGGCCCTTCTGTTCAGCCTCCATTTTATAACTTGAAAGTTTCCCCTTTGGGGGTTATTCCTAAAAAATAGCCAGGTGAATATCGCATGATACACTACCTCTCTTATCCATGCGGAGGTTCAGTGAATGAATTGATTTCATCAGAATTATGTTGAGTGCACTATGTATCAGTAGATGATGCTGTAAAAATGATAAATAAAATAGGACTAAACTGCCATCTGGCTAAAACTGATGTTAGGAGTGCTTTCCGTATAAACCCAGTAAACCCTGCTGATTAATGTCTATTAGGTATGCACTGGAAGGGTAATTATTATGTAGATTGCTCCTTGCCAATGGGACTAGCTAGTTCATGTAGAACATTTGAGATGCTTATTACTGCTTTGGAATGGGTTGCACGTAACAAACTCGATATCCCACATTTTATTGATATTCTGGATGATTTTTTAATTGCGGCTGAATACTTAGACATATGTAAAAACTAGCCTTCAAAAATGTTTGACATTTTGTGAGAATGCGGGAGTACCTATGGCACCAGAAAAAACCTGAGGGCCCTTCTCCAGTCTTAACTTTTGTTGGAATTGAAGTAGATTTTAGTAGAGATGAAGCTATGCTGCCTTATGAAAAAGTTAAAAAAATGTTTGTTGGCAATTCGTAGTTTGCTTGAGAGGAAGAAAGTCACACTGAAGGAGCNAGTTGTTTTCATAACAGATAATGAAAGCACTGTTTGCATCACCAACAGCAATAGAAACAAAACTGCTAAGCTTGCTCCGCACACTAGTGCTCATTTGTCTTAGAAACAACATTCTATTTAGGGCTCGACAGATAAAAGGTGCACGGAACATACTAGCTGATACTCTATCTCGTTTGTAGGTCGAGAAATTCAAAGCCCTGGCACCGAGTATGAACCCAGAGCCAACCCCTCTGCTGGTGCAACTGCCACCAGAAAACTGGGAGATATTTTAACACAAATGCTAGAAGCAAGTTTGAGCACCACTTCCTTGAGCATTTACCGTAGGCTTTGGTATCTGTACCGACCCTTTCTGACAGATAAGTTAAAAATCCAGGGTCCAATTTTTCCAATCTTAACTGAGCATTTGGCGTTGTTTATTACATATCTAGCAGAGCAAAAATATGCATAATCTACAGTATTGACTTACATTTCAGGTTTAGGGTTTCCTCATCGATTGGCGGGATTACCTGACCCGACAAAAAAAGACATAACACAGCTAACTGTAAGGGGTTATAGTCAACTTAATCATTTTAGAGACTCACGTTTCCCAATTTCTTTACCAATTCCTGAAAACATCATTTCTTCGTGTGTTCACACACAGTCAACACTCTACACAAGGAAGCTGTTGCAGGGTAGGTATGCTATTACCTTTTGCTGAGTTAAGGATCAGCGAGATCACATGTCAACCAAATGAAACTAACGAGAATTTAACATTTCTTAACTAGGCTAGCTTCATAAAAACCAACGGGGATAGCATTGATGCAATTAAGCTCACGTTAAGACATTATAAGCATAGTAATCCAGCACAGCCTGTGAATATTTTTATTTATCAGGCCCAGGCAGTTTGCCCTGTCAATCTATTACTTACATACTTAAAGTTAAGGGGAACCTCTCCCGGTCCACTATTTTGTTGGCAAGATCTCTCTCCAATTTCGCGCAATGTTTTTACTAAGGCCTTAGTTGATTCACTTGGTTTTTGTGATCTGGACGTGTCAGGGTATAAATCTCATAGTTTTTGCACCGTAGCAGCATCCTGGGCAGCTTCCAAGGGCATGTCCGATGCCCAGACTAGGGCCTTTGGGAGATGGAAATCTAATGCCTTTCTCAGGTACATTCGCGCACCTTCTATAGGTTCAAACTAGCATCTGGGTACCATATGCCTACAATGCACGATGTGGTGCAGTCTCTTTTGAGCAGCGGTCAAATTATTGTACGCTACTGACCTTCAAAGAGAGATAAGCCATTTATTCATTTATTAAAAAAAATCAAATTCAGCGCAGGGGTTTTTGAGCAGGGACCAATTTTCCAAGCCCTGTGTTTAATCCTCATTCCGGATGATAAGCACTTTTGTGTTAGTGTTTAGACTGGATAGATGGCACTGAACTCTTGAGCAGGGGCCAATTGTCTCAGTGTTGTCTCTCTCGATTATCAGGTGTTTATTTACTACTAAGTGATATAATATTTGTTTTCTCATTGGGCACTAGGTGAGCAGGGGGTGGCTTGGTTGCCTCTTTTAACTAGTATTCGTTCAGGGCACATTGCCATGGTTTAGGGTGGGGCGACCATTGTTTGTTTCTCGCACAGGGCTTTGACAGGTTTGCCCTCACCTTTGCTGGAAATAAGTTACCATTTAAAATTATGTGATTCAGTTGACTTGTTAGAAAATAAACGTCCACGATTGTGGCCAATCTATGGCACAACTCTCGATCTCAGTTTCATTACTTGCTCCCAGCAAACAGAGCTCGACCTTGGCTATGCGTCACCCCTCGTTAAGTTAGTTTAAGATAAGGAGCGAGAAGCATAAAGTATTATTCAATTATTTATGAGGATTTACAAAGAACGATCAGATAATGTTTCCTTGTTTTTCGATTCTTTCTCTTTAGTCGGTCGACTTCCCATAAAGTAGTAGTTATGATCTGCTCCAAGTATTATTTTCACGAAGAAAACGATGGCTGGAAGGGAGCCACGAAAAAATGTAGCGAATTAAATCATAGTTCACTTGTCTCTATGGAAACCGAAAAAGAATGACACTTCGTCAAGAAATTGAGCGCGAAACTCAGGCGCACAAAAAGGCGTTAGTTTACTGGCTTGGAAATAGTTCACGGATCTCATACGTGGTGCTGGTTGAGTAAAAGCATAGAATCATCAACAAGAGGCCACCTGGACCATGGCGTTGGATTAAAGGAGAACCCAATAATCATAACATAGAAAACTGCGTAGAGATGCTAGGCAACAGACGGCATAACAGCATAGGATGCCAAGGAAAAATGTATGGCATCAATCCAGGATATCTGTGTGAAAAGCAATTTAGTAAGTTAATACGTAAAAGATATACGTAAAGTGAAGCTTCTCCTCAGGGACTTTTCAGCCACAATGTATACTAACTAGGTGCTTAAAAATCCCCACCAGCTGGAGGCAGACCAGTGGGCTATTTACAGAGCGCAGCCGAGGATTTTAACTAGGAGCAACCGAGAACAAGTCCAGTGAGTGGCAGGGTGGAGGATTTGAAACCGGGACATTGCATTACAAGTCCAGCACCCTAACCACCCTAACCACCCTAGCCACTAGGCCACGCCGTGTCCTCGTTAATGCTCATGCAAATTAATGTTCACCAAAGTACGAATCTCAGTAGGCAATAAATAGGCATTAGCGGACTTTAATTTTGAACAAAGTAACTCGTGATCATATTTTCATTCTAGATTGTTCCATGGTTTCACAGACAGAAGACATTTTCATCGAGGAAACGACAACACCTGCGTCAACTGGCCAATCGTTAACAACAAGAACGACAGCAAACTTAGAACACAATTGACGAATGTTAAAGCTGAAGACCGCATAAGTTACTCTCAGAAGGTAGGAATTAATTCGCTCTAATATGGATATCAAATATTTACCTAGTCTACTACACAGTAAACGTCGGATGTCACACTTGAAGCCCCCATCCACCCTCGGAAAAAAAGTACACGGAAAGAAAAAGAGAAACCAATTAAACAGCCAAATAAAGACAAAGTACATTGTACCTAAAAATAACATTTTTTTTCAACCTAGGAACAAGCGTTTCAACTGTTGTTATCTCAGTTGAGTTTGTTTTGGTCGAAGGACGATATATTTTAGATTGATTCCGATGCTGATGCATGAACCAATTATTTATAAGCGTATAGGTGAAAAGTAACAATCATACATTTATCTTATTAGACGTTTTGTTCTGTGGTATCGCTGAGTGTTTTTACGAGTTGTGCCGATTTTTACGAGCCCGTAGGGCGAGTTAAAATAAAAAGAACGAGTAAAAATACTCAGCGATACTGCACAAAAAACGTCTAATACGCTATTTATTATCCAGCACTCCAAATTGTTATTTCAGTGCGAGCGAATTTCGCGGATATTTATTTACAGGGAGTGCGTAACAGAAGTATGCGAAGCGGAACGGAATCGGTGCCTTGTCGTGTTGCTGTTTCTATTTTCTTTACTAAATGAAGAAATTTCCTATTCGTCTACTGTTTTTCTTCTTTCGATTTATCTAATAAACTTGGATCCATATTTGCCAGCCATTCCAACTCTTCGTTGTCAGAAAAGTGATTCAAATTGTCCGTCATTTTTTTTTTCGTAACCTCGAACCAATCATTCGCTTGCGCGATGCGAGAAAACCTGTCTAGCGGGTAATCTGAAGTACAAATACCGCGTGGTATTTGTACTCGTTTAGGGCGTTATTTGTACTCAACGGAATGTAGTTGGATAATAAAACGAGGTATTTCAAATGAAAGCTCTTAACTCTGATTGCAAGAGTTTCTACAATTAACGTTCTCTTTTGTTTTGTGTGAAGATCGACTCATGAGCCTCAAGCATCAGAAACCACCAGTTTTAAAATATCACCAAAAAATGTGTCAACATCCTAACATTACCATCTAATAATCAATAGCTATTTACCGAAGTGAAGTAAGGTACTGCTGGGTATTTACCGAGGGGAGGTAACTATCTACTGCTGACCACTGACACTGAGGAAAATAGTTGTTTTCATATATTTTAAAACAGTGATACGATACAGCATAAAAATATGATTTTAATCCATTTATTCCTGCAACGATTACAAAATTTTCCGATTTAAATCTCGTGCNTTCTCGTCTCTCAGTAAGCGTTCCTTCACTTGAAGATCTCGTATACTAAACACGAACTTGTCTCGCAACATGTCATCAACCGGCGACGGGTACTCGCAAGATTTCACTTTGTTTTTCAAGCGTGTGACAAACTGATCCACAGTTTCGGAATCTTTCTGTGTTATCTGCCAAAACTGATACCTCTCGAACACTACGTTCTTCCTGGGGTTACAGTACTGCTCAAACTGCTCAAGGACTTTGTGCAGCTTGTGCTCGTCACCTTCGGCAAACTGAAATGTATTGAAGACCTCAATGGCGTCTTCTCCTGCAAAGTTTAGGAATATAGCAATCTTGACCTCATCAGCTTTGTTTCCTTTTCTCGAAGCAGTTAAGTAGATATCAAAGTGCTGCTTAAATCGCCGCCAATTTTCTGATGTGTTTCCATGGAGACACAAAGCGCTAGGCTTGTGAAAACTATCCATAGCCCACTCCTGACACCATGTCAAAAGATACGAGTCGAAAATGCAATACGAAAACCACGTGCGAGCCGTTATGTAATAATGTCATAGAGCATGCGTGTCAGCCATGACGTCCCAACGTGACACTTAACTGATCCAACCAACATAGCTACGAAGAAGACGCCATAGAAAAGGTAAATACAGAAAAATTTTGCGGCCCGACCTTTGCGAATAGTTTATAACTCCGAGAACTTACCTAAATTTCAGCAATCTCCAAGTTTGGCCGCCATTTTGAGGGACTTGTCAACATGAAGCGTTGCAGACATAAATCGAGCAGCTAGATTCAAATGAACTGTACTTTCAATTCAAGTAGCAAAATCTGAAATTGTTTGTTAACCTTACCATTCCTACGTCCTCATGCGACCATTTCTTCCATCAATTCAAACACTACAACTAGTGTTCAAATTCCTCTCGTCAGTCCACCATAAGAAATAATCTGTTCCACCTAAGCTTCGACTCGAATGTGAAGTACGAGTCAAATAACACAACTGGTTCTTCGTCGAGGCAATATCACGCTGGTATTTTGATTTTCTGATCGACAAGGACGGTGTTCAGGAAGTGATCGCCATGTTTACCTCATAAAAGAACCGCTGACCAGCCGCTGAGTGAAAACAGAACGGCGCGGGGTGGGGTGTGTGGTGGCTTATCGGCATAAGTTATTCGAATACATGCTTAAAAAACTTTAGGACTCTCAGGGCGCGATCCATTCAACCAAGTGGACCGGTCCAACCGAGAAAAAAGGTCCACCTCGAGAGGTGGGCCAGTTTTTTCGAAACATTACCAGTTGGACCGAACCGATCCATTCAGTTTTAGCTCGGATTTTTTCGGAAATTCTGGTTAAATGGATCGCGCCCTCAGTCTAAACAGTGAAGGCATGCTTCGTAGTACAGAGTACTTTTATTTTGTTCTCATAACTTTTTCCTTTAAATTAGAACTGGTATTGATTAATAGAGTTATCAATGTATTTTTAACCGGAGTACCCATATTACTTTTTGCTTGTCTT